GTAAACGATATATAATTTTCTTTCGTTATAGGTAACACGTCAACTCTACCCGCAAAACTATTAGCAATATCTTTTATGATAAAATGTGCGTCATAACCGGCCAAGTAATGAAAGAATATAGAAATAACGTACGTATCTTGATAATGTAAATTACAACGTGAATGTGCAGGACCTCTATAACGTCCGGTTAAATGACAGTGATCGCGTACGCGCAAATCTCCTTCCTCAAATGGTCTTTCACAGATATGACAGTGAGTCGCGTTTCGAAAGTTTTCCCACTTGACGTTCGATGTAAACTCCGCCATAGTCACATTCTTATCGAATATTATTTTCGCGCGATGCGCCAAATCGTATAATTCCTTGACAAACCATACGCAATCCTCGCCGCGATAAGATTTATATATCGATATAATTTTATCGTATACACAACGTATGTAATATCCTACGCTGAAAACCTTGTGATGCTGATAGATAAATCTCGAAATGTTTTCATCATTGGTTTTCTTCTCCAGTATACACTCCAAATAGGCATAAATCACAAAGAGAAGTCGCTTCTTCTTATTATGATCACGAAACGATAACCACTTATCGTTCTCGTTCGGAAGAATAAAAAGCACAAGGGTTCGTTGTAGTACAGTCAACGATGTGAAGCGACAACTTCTCGCTCGTATGAAAATAATGTAGACATCTGTAAAGTAACAAGTCATACGCGTTACACAACTTTTTTATCGCTATATATATATATACAAAAAACAATTAGTATACCTACCTATCACATAAATATTTCTTCTTTGAATTCTTGCTCAATTGCGAACCTATTAATCGTGACAGATTTGTAATCCATGTGAAATGACCAATGACGTTTTCGTCGTCGCGTCTTGACTTTTGCAGGTACAATAGATTTACATGTTTCTCTTTCTTCTCTTTGGTAAGATGAAGAGGAACGATTATATTACCATCGTCTTTTTTCCCATCTCTCTCTCGCTCGGTAAATACGTTGATAGATATATCGTTCAAAAGTTCAAATTTCGTAATTTGTTTTAAAGTAACGGGAAACTCGATACCCTCAAGATTCAACACAGTAGTATAATCCGGATACGACGATCCTATTCACACGACTTTTAACTGGTTACAGAGCGGTGACCACCGACCAGGTGAAACATGCATTGTCCATCGAACGCACATTGATTACCACTTTCTTCAGCATAATTTCTCGCGGCAGCTCCACCCAACATCCCGCATACATAGGATTATATTTGTTAACATTTACAATCAGATTCAATATACGTGATAACGCTCATCCACTGTCACGTTCCTAAAATTCCTCCAGTGCTGCTAAAATATCTGTCACATGTTTATCGTACCACTCTCGCAGATCGGATGTGTCAAAAAGCTCGTAATTTTTCATAGTAATACTCTTAGCAGATCTCTTAGCATCCGCGACCAACTCACCGTTGAATATCGTATTCACTTTTAAATAAATATGTCTCTGAAGATTATCGTGTATCCGATCGAGAACGATATCTCTCGCGTCATCGAGAAACTATCGAGCTTCGATGTAACTCGAATTCAACAACACACCAGTCAATACGCGATTATTAAAAGCTGTTTCGATCTCTAATCACGAAAATCCCCTCTTTTGCGATTCGACATGGCCAGAGCCCACATGTTCAAAACGTTGTCGTAAAACATTTCTCAAACCTTCCAATCGTGCTAGTCGAGCGATCGATGCATTTACAACTCCGGTAGATGTTCGTTGACGTTTACTGTTTCGACACGTCTCCCGCAAGAAATCGAGACACTCGTTGTATTTTTGCTCTCATACTTGATACATGTCCGCCATATCGATGCTCGTCGCACGATGAAAAAGATCCTCCACCTCCTCGTCCATTTCTCTCTATATTAAAAAAAATTACTGCCCTCGCTTACACGTGAACCAGAGCGTTTCACCGCAACTATCGTATGCAACTAACTATACTATAGGTATGTCGAATTTAATTTTTTCATATATCCTTCCAATATCACTGATTTTTCGCACACCTTTCACGGCTGCGTTTTCATATCTTCTTGCGCGATCGTCGACAAGAATTATCACGCTTTTCATCCATAAAATCTCTCGCGAACAGTGATTTCCAATCTCTCTCCGTAAATGATGTGTAGCTAAATTCCAACACCTCTTCTCCTTTATACAGGATGTAAC